AGAAAACGAATTATTTGAATTTCCTATATTATAAATACTGCCTGCTTAAGAGTTTAAAAAGTGTATTTATAAAAATTTATCTCGTTTTGTTTGACGCTAGCAATAAACCAGCCGCTGAATATTCGAATTTCTTAAAATTGCCAACCGAACGAATAAAATCAGAATAGCAAACTACATACAAATCAATCATTGCTGATCGCTACGTAGTTTATTTAATTTTATTTTTAATACATCCAACAACACAGAACATGTGTTATCAATAATTTATTATAGTATGTAGTTTTTTCGTTTCTTTTTAAAATACAACAATTATTATCAACATATAAGTGTTCTCAAAACACTTAACTTTTAAACTGTATTTTCACAAATATAAAGTTTCGAAGTTATTTATAGCGTAAACACGGCTTTTATACTATCGGTAATTGTATTTTATACCTTTTCCAGGGTGCATGTTTCAATTTTATGCGCTTGTGGCGACCTATAAAACTTGTCCTGCAGTTTATTGCACCCCGTATTTCTGCATTAACTACAAACCCGCCGTTTTTTCGCACGATCGCTCGGACAGTTTGAAAAATTGCCTTTGGATAGTTTTCAATTTTAGGCTGGTTTATTACAATTCGCGAGTTTCAGTTGAAATAGAAAAGTTTTCAACGCACAAGTTCGATAGAGATTCTAAACAAGGGTTGCAAAAAAATTTGGGTGAAGTTTTTTTACTTCAAATCGCTTATAAAAAAACAATAAAACATCCAGTATACAGACCGGACCACCGTAGTAGTAACATAGGCAGAACCGGACGAATTAGCGTATACCCGTCCGCCGGATAAAAAACAGGCGAAAAAATGCGATAAAATAAAAATAGGTAGATATTATGTGATAAGAATTAATAATGGGAACTATCGAATGAATACTATCGAAACATTCGATAGTTGCAATTCATTCGAATAATTCGATAGTAAGAAAACATTCGTTGAAAACTATTCGAATAAAAATTATCGAATAGATCCGTCATCTGCCTTGAACTATTGTATTCTAGTAATTCGGCAGCAAAAACCATTCATTTATAAAATTCATTCATTTATGAAATTCATTTATTCGTCAGGATCGATTATAATAAAATATTAACTGAATTTTAGTTGTCGCCCGGCGACGCGACGTAGGTTTCTTTCCGAGAAACCCGACAGCGGTCGGTGGCAATGCTATGAAAGAAGCCGGCATCTTTGATTTTTTGCGGAGTCAGATATAGATAAGGACACATTATTTTTTTTATTAAGGTGCTAGTATTTACACAGAAAATACATTATGAAGGGCGCTGTTGTCATATTTTGGTATTAGTTGATATTATCAAAGAATATTATTGTTTGGCTTTAGTTAGTTAGGGATAGTAGGCATGTCTATATATTCTGCATTTTTTTATTAATATTCTGTTGTTACACTGCAATAATACTTGTTATTTTGGATGTAGGAAAATAAGTTTTAATGTTTTTAAGCAAAGACTGGTTTAATAAATAATAATAACAGTAATAATTTGTTATACCTATTAACAACAAAATTTAAAATCATTTAATATAAATATTTTTTTTAAGTAGTAGCAAAATATAAACAACAAGATGTCAAAATTATTTATATTAGATCCTATTTAAAAGTAATATAGTCTAATATAAATTTTTTGTGTGTGGCAACGTTGGTTTATTAAATAATAATAATTACAGAACTAATTTGTTATATTAACAACAAATTTTAAAATCATGAAATATAAACATTTATTAATTTTCTAAGCATGCAGTGTAATGGAAGGAAAATATAAATAAAAAAATAGAAATCAAAATTATTTATATTAGGTGCTTTATATTACTATTTAAAAATTATATTTACTTTTACTGGCATTTACTTTAAAAAATAAATGAAATATTTCTTCGCAAAAAACTACATGTAAGAGAATTAGCATAAACAAAATACAAACATCGTTAACTTTAATTGAAAGATCGGACTACGAAAAACCACACAAATTTTCGGAAAAATTTTGACCACCTGCACATGTACACAATCGTCAATAAATGAAATTAACTACTTTTAATAAACGCAAAAATAGCACAGTATTTATACGGCGAAGTTATAAAAATTTGGAAGAACTAATAATGCACTGACGCATACAAAAATCAAACGAATACTAAATTTCATTTGTCAAAAGCATTCGATAGTCGTGGCTCAACGATAACCATTTAGTCGCACGGCGAGGTTGTCACATATGCTTTAGTATACAAATGAATGAATGATTTTATTCGAATAAAACCATTCGATAGTTGAAATCATTCATTCATTAACCATTCGATAGTCTAATTCATTCGATAGTTCCCATCGCTAATAAGAATGTTTCAGAATTTGTATTTATTCGTGTTTTAATAGCCTAAACGAATACATAGATTCTCGCGACAGTTCTCGTGTAAAATTCATTTTTTAAGTAAAATATTGGATGTTTACGAAGTTCGTGAGAAAATTCAAATTGTAAAATGGTATTTCCAAAATAGGTCTTATCGGAATATACAAACAATTTTTCCACAAACTTTTGTAAACAGGCCAATTCGATCTTTACCTACTGTATCAAGAGTTATTAATAATTTTGAAACACATGAGTGCGTGTTCCCACAAAAACACAAAAAGCCTGACGTGTTGATTAATGAAGAACAGGAGTTAAAGCAAGTGTTCATTTGTGCTACCGCGGATCAAAATCCCACGTTTTCAAGTAATCAAATTGCTGAGGTGGTTGTCCTGCCCACAATGCCCGTATTGTTCAAGAATATTTGAACAATACTTTTCCGAACCGTTTAATTAGTGGATATGGAACTCTTTTGTGGCCCGCTAGATCACCAGATCTTTCTCCCAATGACTTATTTTTGTGGGGTTATGTAAAATCCAAAGTGTATGGTGATAATAGGGCTAATAACCTGGATGAGCTTCAAGTAAAAATACGAGAGGCTTTCCAAACTATTAGCCCTAATATGTTAGCCAATGTCAGACGGGGATTTTACGACCGCCTAGGCTTCTGTCTAGCACAAGAAGATGGTCTTTTTGAACACATGTTATAACTTTTTCTTATTTAGAGTAATATTTTTTTTAGGGTTTAGAGAATTTATTTATTCTTAGTTTTGGCTTGTAAACACACTCAAATAATAAATATTTAAGTATTTTCATTTTAAATGTTACCTTAAGTGAAGGTAAACACTTAAAATGAAAATAATAAATACTCGGCACTTCTCGCGTCGTATTCCGAGCCTGTCACAACCGACCCGTCTAAGCACAACTGCAACTGCGTACTACCTGACCAGCCGACTAGCCGGCAATCTCGAGTACGAACGCAAAACGGGTAAACGTAAATTCGTCCGGCAACGTGCTATGTTACTAGTAGCCTGGTCTTCTCTGTATAGAAAAGCCTTCCCAAATAGAAAATTATAAAAATTTCTTTGCGGAAATGCATCATTCCCTTTTTTCCGACTTTAGAATAACTGAAATCGGTTACATGAAAACGTGTTCTTGCTTTACGTTCTATACACTTTTCTTGTGTAGGTATGAATTTAGTAGATACTGTAATTTAGACACCAATAACCCGGAACGAGAAAAAACTAAAATAAACAAAAATGAACGAACTAACTCTAAGCTAAAACACGTCTGTTTACGAATTCCAATTGCGGAGTACTTTTCAAATCTTGCTGTATTTTACAACATTTAATCAATAAATAAGAATGGTACACTTTCGCATGAAGTTTTTTTGCGTGTAATTTCTTGAATGGAAAAACAGAAAAGTGTATTCATGTAACTGGTTTCAGCTAATTTAAAGTTGAAAACCTGAAAATTATGCATTTCCGCTGAAAAATTTTCGTGACTTACTATTTGGACCCCCCCCCCCTTATAAGTACTAAATAAATAAATATTTCTTACATAACTATAATTTCAGCTAAACTAAAGAGCCCTTCTAAAGTTGAAAAACTGAAAATGATGTATTTCCGCAGAAAAATTTTTGTGACATACCTACTATTTCAAACAGGCTTCCAAATACTAAATAAACAAATATTTCTTACATAACAATTTGATTTCAAGGAAACGAAAGTAGTCCTGATTTCAGCTATTCTAACGTTGAAAAACTGGCAAAAGATGCATTTCCGCAGAAAAAGTTTTACGACATACCTACTATTCGAAAAGGCTCTTCCAAATACTAAATAGACAAATATTTTTTACATAACTGATTTCAAGTAAACGAAACTTGAGCCAAAAATATCTTTTATTTTTAAAGAAAAAATGCTCAAAAACGTGTTTTTTATGGTTTCAAACAAGTTTTAATGTTTAAAACATAATTTTAAGTCCAAAGTCGGGGTGTACGATTAAAACTTATTTAAAACACTTGTTTTGTGTTTCTGGACTATTTTCCTATTTTTTTGTTCGATATTACTCGAGTAATAACAGCTGATAGATTCCATTTTTTTTAATTTATTGCCCAACCAAATGGGCAACATATAAATACCCAACTATTTAAATCATTCTGTATCTCTTCATATCGTCCCATTGATGCCAAAAGTCACTAACTTCCTTTTTATTACTTCCGAGAAAAATGCGTCTAAAAATGAATTGCATTTCATAAAGATGTTATAGTTAGTAACTATTCGGTATTAAAATAAAACATAAATAACCAGAAATCGTAGTTAATGACTTTTGCAATCGATTCTCCGCTTCAAAACATAGTTAGTGATTGAATTTGGTTGTTCGGAAAAATGTTAGTGACTTTTGGCAGCAATAGGACGATATATAAAAAAAACTCTGATAATATACCGTATGATAAGAAAAAATCGACCAACAGTTGGCATGGAAATGACTATCGATGACATTCCGCATATAATTTTACATATAAAATGACAATACCGCGATCTTCATTTCATAGCCATAGCTGACGCCGTTTTTTTTTTCGATCATACGGTATATAAAACTATAAAAAAAATGTATGTTTGACTCACCTCAAAAAACAACAGCAAACAATCCAATACAATAATATCCCGTTAATCCAAATATTTGACCACCTAGAACAAAAAAATAAAATCTCACTAAACTGACATATCCACGCCGACTAAGTTTCAATCTCTCGTGTTTGTTTTCAATAAGTTTCGAACAGAAATCGCGAAAATATCATCGAACAAAGCAAGAGACAGTCTTTCTGACGAAAAATCCGAGGCATTGACACCGACTACGCACAAAAACAAAGGTTAGGGTCCTCTAGAACAGTTTCAAGTCGATTTCACTTTACAACAGCGAACAGAATCATTGTTTTTGTACGTTAAACGAAATTTTCAATGTTTTTCGCTTGATTGTTCACTTTTACGGGTTTATTGGCCAGGTTATAATTCAAAACGGAACACTTTCACGGATTCAGCGTTAACAATCACCCACAGAAACGTTGTTTTAATCAACTCACACGAAATACTGATGTTTCAAACACTTTTGTTCACGTTAACGCGACAAAACTACAACATTTTGATTTTGGCGAGGTGAAAATGAATACGTAACAAGTGGAAAAGAGTACGAGATCTGTGCTTGACGGTGGCTGGTCGTGGATTGCTGCGGATTCCGCGCCAAGGCCAAACGCAAGTAGAACCGTGCGGTGTTGTCGGATTTTATCAGATAAGAGTCGGTAGGGAGTAGACGCAAACCGAAAAAATGCGGTTTTGTTTCCGGAGTTATTTTAAACAAGCTAAAATAGTTGCGACAGATATTGTTTCTGATAATATGGTTTAATTTTTATTTCTTTTGTCTGGGGTGAGGGGGTGGGGGGAGGTAATAAATAAGTCGTTGAATAGAAAAAAAATTGTATGTGCACTATGTGCGCATATTTGAAGTGAAACCCGCCTGTCTGTCTGTTCGTCTGTTAGTCTGTCTATACCTCTGTCCATCTGAGGAGTCCATTCGGGTCCCTCTATCCACCTGCCAAGTTTGGTTCCTGATGATTTCGTCCATTTAGAGGTATCGGTTCGAAACGTCGACGGCGTCATCCTGTAGCCCGTCCCCAATTATGCCGAACTCGACTGATGACCTCATGAAGATGTGAACAAAACGTTGTATCCAAATTTAAGAAGTGGGGCCGTGTGCACCGTCATAGCCAAATTCGGTAGTGATCGACGATATCAACTTTTGACGTTTCTGACGTCAAAACTAACTGTCACAGTGACACCTGTCGTACACCACAGATAAGTGAGTAGGATAGATTGGATGCTCCCTTACTAAAACCGAAACCTCTATTTTGCGCCATCTGTTGGCTTGAAAGTATACTACCCTGGATGCTTTCGGCGGGATTTTTTATTTTTTATTTAGCTTTTAGTTAATAAATTAGTAAGACCGGTTTGATAACCACCAGTAAACTTGACCAGAGTCCATCAGTCCACCAGTAAACTTGACCAACCTGCCATGCTGAGGTGAACCAAAAAGTATAAGACCGGACATTACCTTTTTTCTTTTAAACACCAATACAGGTAAAAAAAACAAACATCCATTAGATTTACTTGGTAAATTTTTATGGGAAGAAGTGTGCAAAATAATTCCTGTTAAGGGGTGTCTTGAAAAAGTTTTAGCGGCACTTTAACCTTTAAAGTATGTTTAAAAAACACAAATAAATAATCAAAAATTAATAATAATTTTTAATCAAACTACACAATAAAACCCCCCATTCACATACACTAGATATATTATAAAGATTCGACAAATAAAGAAACAATTTATAAAGCTAAAAAGTACTGACTAACTAGCGATTTATATACTCGCCGACTGCCGACTGTACCAACAAATTAATGGTACCGTTACAACTAAAAAATTAACACATAGGAACACTAATATCGGCTTATAACGCCGCTGCTTTCCGGCACAACAGAAGAAATTTACCAAAACAGAAAACACACGGCTCAGCTGGGACTTGGCTTCTTTCTTTGAATTTCGAGATAACAAAATAGGTTGACAGACACTATTACAGAGCACTATTGGCATAAACTAGCGATACTAACGCCTCAGACGGCCTGAAAGCCAAAAACAGTGTTTCAAAAGGCCAATAAGAGTGCGCATAGCCTGTCGTACACGGTCAAGTTGGCCTTGTTCCATTCGACATACCAAATTTCATTTAAATCCGGCGATTTTTTGATTTGATTCACATTGATGATAGAGTTTCATAGTATTGGAACGTCGTCAAAATATCATGAAAAGATTCGAGCCACATCTATATTCCGAACTTCAGCCCCTAGCTCACATAGGGCCCGAGTTACGACGCTCCAAAATCCCATTAAATCGGACGATTTTTTCGGCATTGATGATGGGTTTTCGTAGTGCACGTTTCAGCCACCTAGCTCATATAGGGCCAGAGTTACAACGCTATTAATCGAAAATTACTACCACTAATTTTGACGTTCTGAATCCTTAGATTGAAATTAGAAGACCAATAATCTAATAACTAATTTATTCTAAAAATTTCGAGGTTCTAAATGAAACTAGAGTTTACATTCATTTACAATGTCTAAAAATGATACTATACATAATTAAAATTAATAGAATAACCTAACAAAAACTTGCGATAATCAGTCGTATCCATAGAGAAAGCTAATTAGCTTATAAAACAATAAACTTTTGATTTCTAACCACAATATTGCTCTTAACGGATGATAATCAAAGGTCAAAAGAAAGTAAAAGTAAAGATTTCAAGTTAACGTCTCCTTTTTGCTGCCAGGGCTAATCTGAACGCGGAATCCGAACCTCGGTCCTCGACCATATCATGGCCAATCTCATCCGGCCTCGAACCGGCGGGAATGAGCAGTGTGTATCAATAGATTTTACACTTTTGCCTTTACTGGACAACAGCACGATACAGAGTTTCAAATCGGTCACCCGTCCATCCACTAGTATCGCCTTACGTCGCTTAACTTCGGTGTTCTAATGGGAACCGGTGTTTTGATGTAGCTGGGCCGTTGCCCTAAAGATCAGAAAAGAGCATTAAGCTTCATTAAGAACCTCAAAATTAGTGAAATAAATTAGTAGTTTCAATTAGCGCAGAAGTTTGTTCCTTTAATTTCAATGTAAGCATTCAAAATGTCAAAATTAGTGATAGTAATTTTTAATTAGTAGAAAAAGTTAACAAACTTCTAACTTTTCCACTAATTATACTTCAAAATTTGCGAGAAATTCATCATTTTAGTCTTTGATTTTCATCCGTCAAGAGAAATTGTGAAAAGTTGATCGTTTTATAAAAGTTTTATAAGCTAAATATTAGTTTTTCTCTATGGATACAACTGATTACCGCAAACCTTGCTAGGATATTCTATTAATTTTAATTGTTTTTTTAGACATTGTAAATGATCGTTAAGTAAAAAGTGTAATTGAAACCACTAATTTATTCCACTAATTGCGAGGTTCTGATAAAGCTTCACTAGTAAATTTTGAAGTATAATTAGTAGAAAAAGTTAAGTTTTTAACTTTTTCTATTAGTTGAAAATAACTAACTATTTTTGGCGTTCTGATTGCCTACATTGAATTTAGAGAAACAAACTTCTACGCTAATTCACACCACTAATTTATTCCGCTAAATTCGAGGTTTTGAATGTAGCAAAAAAAAAAAATAAAATGCGTTCCGATCTTTTAGGAAAAATTAAGTAGTACGGCAACGTGGCGCGATATCCCCGCATGGTGAGTCGAGATGAGTGAAGTTGCGCAGACGTGTGGCGACGTTGCCGATGGCACACATTACGCTTTATCGGTGTATTAATTGTAATGCACTTCTCAATTCTCAAAGCAGGTATGCATGCGGTACGTAGATTGCGAGATCTGAGAGAATTCCGATATTTACTTGTTAGACATAATCGAAGTTACCGCTTAAGGTCCATCTACATCAGTCACTTTTAAACATCTTGGTAGAGTTTCCATATATGTCCGGATTTTCCCGGACGTGGGTTTAAGGTGTCTGGGGTGTGTGATTTAAGAGTTAAGTGTGTTTCATTTTAAAAAGTATGCTCTAAACCGATATCTGCGACATTTGACAAAATAATTTGCGTTTTTATTATGATTAAATAAAAATGTCATTTAAAAGTGGGACAAAATAAAATGAACGAATCACGAATAGTTTTTGCGTAAAAGCGGTAAATACGCGTATGGCGCTTATGCAAAAACTCTTTTTGACAAGTTCAGGATTATTGAAAACGGTTTATTTCGTTAAGGTTATGTTTATTTTTAGCCTCGCTCCATTGTGTCAGCTGCCTGCGGTTCTACGACTTACTGATACATGAGTAAATCTGTTAAATACTCGTGTTTGTATTAAATTTGAAGTAATAAAACATTTACATTACAACTTTATTAATAAATACGTTACTACTGGTGATGTCAGCGAATCTGAATAATCTTGAGTAGTTAGTTTGATACTTAAGTAGGTTTGTAGGTGTACGTTAATAAAGATAATAAAATCATAAAAACATCATTATCAGTTGTAGTTTTAGTAAAATTCTGAGTAAAATTACCGTATCTCGTGTCGTGTTTAGATAATCCAACTGAAATAAATTAAATTTTAATAGATAAGTGACGTTATACATTTTGTTTATATTTTTCAATATAAAATTCAAACAATGTAGAAAAGAATTATGAGGACTGCGCTACAGCTCGAAGACTATGGCCAGTGGTAGATAGCAAAAAGACAAATCTACTAGAGCACAAAAAGAACCTAGTAGGCATAATTGTAGGTGTCATCACTGGAAACTGTCCCACGGGGGTAAACCTCGTGAGATGGAGATTTCCAACGACGACTACTGCAGTGAATGCGGGGAGAAAGAAGAAACCATAGAATACCTGCTGTGTTACTGTCCGGCACTGGAAACTGGAATACCGACCGTTTAAAACTTTAGGGCAAGGTTTTTTGGAGGGACTAGAGGAAGCAGCAGAAGCCAACATCAGCGACATCGGGAACTTTGCAAAGAGTTGGAAATGCTTTAACGCAAAGAAACAATGAGATGAAAGTTTGATACAACAATACAAGGGTATCGCAATGGGCCCAAGGCCTCCGAGT